CACGGTCTTTGTAAATGTGCGTATGTAGGCAACAATATCCACGGGGTGTTGAACTGCGGAGGCAACGGGTGCATGCAGTAAGTGCAGCAGCCCACGAAACATCAGCTGTCACCTAGATAAGAGTACTGAGGTGGAGCTATAAAACAAAAAAAACGTAGAACATAATTCCAACTTTGCGCGCACACACAACCTCAAATATCGACTCTCCAATCACATATGACAATTCAAATCAAAGCTGGATTCAAGTGTTGTCTCACCGCAAGTAGCTTGCACCTTTGAAATTATGTCTTAGTTCTTGGTCGGAATTGCTCATGTGCTCCACTCCCCCCGCCTCTGACAGAGTAAGGGAATCGAACTCCCTCCCCCCACGTAACTCGGTTGGCCTTGCTATAAACTCTAGAACGAGTAATTATTCTCTAGTCCTAACGCAAAGCTTAGTCCTAAATCTAAGCTTTAACTTAACCCTTTGCTTTCTCTGTAATTTAGCACAAAAGTACCTTTATTCTGGGTGGTTCCCGTCCCCATGTCCCGCCAGACGGACATAAACAATTGCTACGGCCTTTGTACAGAAGCTTCAATTCTTACCGCCAAGGTTCCCTTAAGGTACCTTATTCTACTGGAGCGTAATCGAAACCTCGTAAGAGAATGAAGTATATATGAAAAGACTGGCATTTCCAATACAAGCGAACATGCGTGTCCCAGGAAGCAATTGAGAAGAAGAAGACTCGATCGCTGGGACAATATGTTTATTCGCCTGACGTTTCGGCATCCTTCGCGGATGTCGAAACGTCAGGCGAATAAACATATTGTCCCAGCGATCGAGTCTTCTTCTTCATCTCAAGACCGGCATGCTCTGTGAGGAAGATCAATAATTCCCTGGAGTTTCAGAGTATGGTTTAGAACCCCGAATGTGTATTTCGTCCAATATTCAGTGACTGAGCCAAACACCTCTTGTACTTACTACTTGTACTTGATCCGATTAGTTGGATGAATTGGCTTCACAGATGTCACGGATAGCGGCGGCCCATTGGCGGCCGTCGGAAGCGAGCTCTTCACAGATGTTAACCCATTGTTTGTTCCAATGTCGCAAGCCGTAAATGGTTACGAGACCCATCCGTTCGACGTCCGACTTGATGGTGTTGAGCCATGTCTTCAGCTGACCGTCTTGTCGGTATCTCCAAACACCTTTTGGTTGGTGTTTGTCCTTTTACCCCCATGCTTTCGTGAAAATATTCAAGTAGGTTACGGCAATCTTCACCTGTTAATAAATTCAGCCCAAATTTTTTGTACACATTTGAATATTTTAATGTCAGTTATTCTTATGCAACGTCATGATCCCCACATACGAATTCCTCCCGGGTCGTAGTATGCGTCTTAAGCTGCAAATCGCGTCCATATAGTCCCAACATAGGTTCTAAAAAGGGCCCAGGCTCTGATTGCTCCGATTTCACTCGACAAGAAATTCGTCTTATATCTGTCTACTAACATCCAGGACAATTATCGGAATGCACTTTATAACATTATCCGCGTGTTTAATGTGTTTTTGAATGAATATTACACTGCCATTTTCATTGTGGCGGCTCAACCCACCGAACTGATTTGCTGTGAAATTGTTCCCTGTCATTAGAGCTTAAAGGAGTGAGAAGTGCGTTAGACATGGGTTAGCAGCGGCTGTAGATGTTAGACAGTGAGTGTACCGGAGTGCTCTACTTTGCACCGATATATAGCCAGGAAGGCGCGGTTGTATTATACATAATGCACTAACTGTACGCCTTCACAAAAGAAGCGTGGCCTGTTTTCTAC